TAACGGTGGGTTGGTTCACCGGCACGTGTCGGAGTCAGCCCGGTTATTATCAGCTGCTTAACGACACCGAGCGGACTCACGTTCACGTTTGAAAGCAGCACCGATTCCAGAAACCTCAGCACAAAGTGCGTTCGTTAATCTGAGCCAACATGACGAACAAGGGAAGCGAGCGGCAGCGGAAAGCGGGGGCGGAGCAGAGATAGTGGAATTTTGGGGTAAGGGTCTACGTAGGGGTGGGCGTATTACGTGAACGGACCCATCTGATTGGCTGCATATCAGAAGGGCTGCATTTGATTGGTCAAATAATACTTCCGCGTAAAAAAACAGAGCTGGTTTACAAAAAGTTGATGTATGACACGAATGGAAATGTTTGAACCAAACATTTATCGCCGTTTTTGACGATGAGCGATGAGCCTATCGCATGTCCTGTTATCGCGATGACGATAATTTTTCGATATATTGTGCAGCCCTAGAGGGGACAGACAGGGTGCTCCAGGACAGATTTAAAAACACAGACCGGAATATGTTCACCAACACAGACCTGGACCAGTACGCCTCATCTGTACTGGATTACATCTCCGTAACCACAGACAGTGTCACCACCCAGAAAAGGATCACCATGTACCCCAATCAGAAGCCTTGGATGAACCGAGATGTTAATCTCCTACTGAAGGCCCGCAACACCGCTTTTAGGTCAGGAGATGCACACGCCTACAGTACAGCCAGGGCTAATCTAAAGAAGGGCATCAAAAAAGCCAAACACCATTACAAAAAGAAGATAGAAGAACACTTCTCCAACTTCAACCCCCGACGCATGTGGCAAGGACTCCAGACCATTACAGACTACAGGATCACCAAGCCCTCCCCCGCATCCTCTGATGTTTCCTTCCTCAACGAGCTCAAGAACTTTTATGCTCGTTTGGAGCGAGGGAACCTCACAACCACAACCATAACAGACCACCAACCTCTGACTCTCTCCCCCACCGATGTACGAGCGGTGCTGAGCAGGATCAATGTCCACAAGGCTGCAGGCCCACATGGCACCCCTGGGCGTGTTCTCAGAGCGTGCTCTGGGGAGTTCGCAGGAGTGCTCACAGACATATTCAATCTGTCCGTGGCCCATGCTGTGGTACCAGCCTGCTTCAAATCCACCTCCATCGTCCCGATACCCAAAAACTCCAACCCATCTAGCCTCAATGACTACCGCCTGGTAGCAATCACCCCCATCATCACGAAGTGCTTAGAGCAGCTGGTCTTAACACACTTCAAATCCTGTCTCCCCCCACCCTGGACCCCCACCAATTTGCATACCGCCAGAACAGGAGCACAGAGGATGCAGTCTCCATTGCACTGTACTCTGTCCTCTCACACCTGGACAACAACAACACCTACGCCAGAATGCTGTTTATACAGGTGCTGGCCAGTAAATTAGAATATCATCAAAAGGTTGAAAATATTTCAGTAATTCCATTCAAAACGTGAAACTTGTACATTATATTCATGCAATGCACACAGACCAATGTATTTCCGATGTTTATTACGTTTAATTTTGATATTTATAGGTGACAACCAATGAAAACATCAAATCTGGTATCTCAGAAAATTAGAATATTCTAAAGGCCAATGAAAAAATGTTTGTTTCTCTAATGTTGGCCAACTGAAAAGAATGAACATGAAAAGAATGTGCATGTATAGCACTCAATACTTAGTCGGGGCTCCTTTTGCCTCAATAACTGCAGTAATGTGGCGTGGCATGGACTCGATCAGTCTGTGGCACTGCTCAGGTGTTATGAGAGCCCAGGTTGCTCTGATAGTCGTCTTCAGCTCCTCTGCATTGTTGGGTCTAGCGTATTGCATCCTCCGCTTCACAATACCCCATAGATTTTCTATGGGGTTAAGGTCAGGCGAGTTTGCTGGCCAATCAAGGACAGGGATACCATGGTCCTTGAACCAGGTGCTGGTGGTTTTGGCACTGTGTGCAGGTGCCAAGTCCTGTTGAAAGGTGAAGTCTGCATCCCCATAAAGTTGGTCAGCAGCAGGAAGCATGAAGTGCTCTAAAACTTCCTGGTAGACGGCTGCATTGACCCTGGACCTCAGGAAACAGAGTGGGCCAACACCGGCAGATGACATGGCACCCCACACCATCACTGACGGTGGAAACTTTACACTGGACCTCATGCAACGTGGATTCTGTGCTTCTCCGCTCTTCCTCCAGACTCTGGGTCCTTGATTGCCAAAGGAAATGCAGAACTTGCTTTCATCAGAAAACATAACTTTGGACCACTCAGCATCAGTCCAGTCCTTTTTGTCCTTGGCCCAGGCGAGACGCTTCTTGCGCTGTTTCTTGTTCAAGAGTGGCTTGACACACGGAATGCGACACCTGAATCCCATGTCTTTCATGAGTCTCCTCGTGGTGGTTCTTGAAGCGCTGACTCCAGCTGCAGTCCACTCTTTGTGGATCTCCCCCACATTTTTGAATGGGTTTGTCGTCACAATTCTCTGCAGGGTGCGGTTATCCCTAGAGCTTGTACACTTTTTTCTACCACATTTTTTCCGTCCCTTCGCCTGTCTGTTAATGTGCTTGGACACAGAGCTCTGCGAACAGCCAGCTTCTTTAGCAATCACCTTTTGTGTCTTGCCCTCCTTGTGCAAGGTGTCAATGATTGTCTTTTGGACAGCTGTTAAGTCAGAAGTCTTCCCCATGATTGTGGTGCCTTCAAAACAAGACTGAGGGACCTTTTAAAGGCCTTTGCAGGTGTTTTGAGTAAATCAGCTGATTTGAGTGGCAGCAGGTGTCTTCTATATTCAGCCTTTTCAGAATATTCTAATTTTTTGAGATACCAAATTTGGAGTTTTCATTAGTTGTCACTTATGAATATCAAATTTAAATGTAATGAACATTGGAAATACATTGGTCTGTGTGCATTGCATGAATATAATGTACAAGTTTCACGTTTTGAATGGAATTACTGAAATATTTTCAACCTTTTGATGATATTCTAATTTACTGGCCAGCACCTGTAGACTTCAGTTCAGCATTCAATACAATCCACCCCTCACAACTCATCAGGAAAATCACAGACCTGGGGATCAGTTCCCTCACCTGCAAATGGTTACTGGACTTCCTGACCAACCGCCCTCAACATGTCCGACTGGATAACCGCTGCTCATCAACAATCACAATGAACACTGGTGTACCACAAGGCTGTGTGATGAGCCCTTTCCTCTACTCCCTTTTCACCCACGACTGCAGACCTGCTGATGGTTCCAGCACCATCATTAAGTTTGCAGATGACACCACGGTGATAGGCCTCATCAGTGACAACGATGAGACCGCCTACAGGGAGGAGGTGGACTGTCTGACTGAGTGGTGCGACACAAACAACCTGCTGCTCAACACTGACAAGACTAAGGAGCTCATCGTGGACTACAGGAGGAATGCTGACCCACATCCACCCATCCACATTAAGGGGACGGCAGTAGAGCGTGTGAGCAGCTTCAAGTTCCTGGGAGTCCACATCTCCGAGGATCTCACCTGGACTATCAGCTGCTCCAACCTGGTCAAGAAGGCTCACCAGCGCCTCTTCTTCTTGAGGACCCTGAGGAGGAGGAACCTGTCCTCAGACATCCTGGTGAACTTCTATCGCTGTACCATCGAGAGCATCCTGACCAACTGTATAACAGTCTGGTATGGGAACTGCTCCGCCTCGGACCGGAAGGCGTTGCAGAGGGTCGGGAAAACTGCCCAGCGCATCGCCGGAGCACCACTTCCTGCCATAAAGGACATCTACAGGAAGCGGTGTCTGAAAAGGGCTAGGAAAATCATCAGAGCCCAAAGTCACCCATCACATGCACTGATCACCCTGCTGCCCTCTGGGAGGCGCTACAGGAGCCTCCGGACTAAGACCACCAGGTACCGGAACAGTTTCTTCCCAACAGCTGTCAGACTCCTGAACTCTGCCTCCTGACATATGACCCACGTTAAACTCATGGACTGCTTGTATTAACTACAGCCTGTACATACTTATAGTCATAGAATATTCATAACATACTTCATACCGTGTACATTATAACATACATAACAGATCAATTTCTGTAATATACTTACACATCTATATTATTGCTAACATATATTGTAATACATCTATATCACGGCTAAAGCATTTCTGGATGGATGCAAACTGCAGTTCGTTGCCCTGTACCTGTACACGTGCAATGACAATAAAGTTGAATTCTATTCTATTCTAGCAGGTAGTAACTCACTTATATATTTAATTTATCAAATATATACACAATTTAAGGCTTGTTATATATTTATATTGAAACTTATACCTATAAAATGTGTTATTTCCCGTGTCATATGACGCTACATGACTGCCGCAGAAGCCGCTGTCACGCGATGCAAGTCTGTTCCATTTAACGGTTTTCTTTGACCAAGGAAGGACAGCGTCCTCGTAAGCAAGGCGCCTTGACATTGACAAACACCCCAGGTATTTTTCTAACAGGAAGTCTGGTTGAAAGAAGTCTCCACCCATGCCCACGTTAAACAAATCAGCCAAAACCTTCAGAGAGTGTAGAACAGTGAAGGCCTTTATTACTTTAACTAATCGTGTGATCTTCCAGTTCTATTTGTGCTTCAGTCAGAATCTTTGATATTAAGATAAAGCCTGAGAGAAACAGTTCTGACTGCAGTGTGTGTGTGTGTGAGCGAGCGAGCGAGCGTGTGTGTGTGTGTGTAAGAGAACAGACTGATAAGGACTGAGTTAGTCCTACTTTTCTTAGACTCTGCTAATAGGATTCCAGGACAGTCCCACCCCCACAACCACATGCACTGCTCCACCTGTGCATGCACACGCACACACACACACACACACACACACACACACACACACACACACACACACACACACACACACACACACACACACACACACACACACACACACACACACACACACACGCACGCGTATGTAACTGTACACACACAAATGTAACCTTACCTGGGTGTCCTCTGTCCTTGTGCTGCAGCTCTGACTCTCACGTTGCCGTGGTAACCACCTCTTCCTTCCTGCTGTGTCTGTAACCTTGTTTTATCCTCCTTTTCCTCTCTGAGCACTTGTTGTCTGCAGCAGAGCCGGCTCATTGTGGATTTACCGACTCAGCTCCTCCTCCTCCAGTCTTGATCAGCTGCTAGCTCCGCCCCACTTCTCCTCCCAGCCAATCAGGTGCTGTGCTACCTCCATCAGCCAGTGATTGGCAGCACAGACAGGCCTGTCCAGGGTCAGAATCACAACAGTTACACACTAATCAATGAACAGTGACATCAAACTGAACTGACACATGATTGGCTTATATTAAAGACCATGACATCATCAGAAGGCTAACCAACAGCTGAAACATGTTTAAACATCAAAGAAAAAACTGTTTCAAGGTTCCAAAAACAAAAAACATCAAACTGTTTTAATCACGAAGAGAAGCAAGGGTCCTCTCAACAAACACACAACCTCCTGCACAAGATTCAAGATGAGGCAGTCAACCAGAACCAAACCGGACTAGGCCAGGGGTTCTGGACCCGGTCAGGGGTTCTGGACCCAGTCAGGGGATCTGGACTTGGTCAGAGGTTCTAGACTGGGTAAGGGGTTCTAAACCGGATTAGAGGTTCTGGAATGGGTCAGGGGTTCTGGACCCAGTCAGGGGTTCTGGACCGGGTCAGGGGTTCTGGTCTGGGTCAGAGGTTCTGGACAGGGTGTCAGGGGTACTGGACTGGGTCAGGGGTTCTAGACCGGGTCAGAGGTTCTGGACTTGGTCAGGGATTCTGGAACGGGTCAGGGGTTCTGGAACGGGTCAGAGGTTCTGGACTTGGTCTGGGGGTTTGGACCAGGTCAGAGGTTCTAGACTGGGTCAGAGGTTCTAGACTGGGTAAGGGGTTCTAGACCGGATTAGAGGTTCTGGAACGGGTCAGGGGTTTTGGACCAGGTCAGAGGTTCTAGACTGGGTAAGGGGTTCTAGACCAGATTAGAGGTTCTGGACCGGGTCAGGGGTTCTGGGTCTGCAGAATGAACATTAATGAGTTTTCTCACCAGTTTCAGACGCTCTTCTTCATCAGGATCATCAGGCTGAAGCTCTTTGTCCATGAATGTCTCTAAACTCCTCTTCAGGTCCAGTTTCGGGTTAAAACCAGAACTTTGGACCGTTTCGGATTTTCTTCATAACGAGTAAAACAGACACAAACATAACGAGTCGTAGTCCCAGTGTGACTCGGCAAACCGGCTGCTAGAGAAGGTCTACGTTAGTCTCTGGTTCTGACAGACAAACCCATGAATGTTCATGCTGATGATGGTTGATTTAAGCGTTTTTTGCTTTACACACGTTTTCTTCTCACAAATTCACTCAGAACAGGAACAAAAACCACAAAGAGACACTAAAGAAGTAACACACAACAGATGAGCCTGATCAGAACCTCTGGCTCGGTTCTGGTCCATTTAACAGCCTTCACTTTCTCACTCATCTAAATTTCTACACCAGGGCCAGTGTCCAGCATGTTTTAGTTGAACCCTGCTCCAGCACACCTGTTTATGGTCAGCAGGTGATTGACAGGCTTCTGCAGGGCCTGATAAACTGCTGCACAGGTGCATTGGAGCAGAGAAACCACTAAAACATGCTGTATACCGTCCTCCAGGACCCTGCTCTACACTTAACAGAAGCCGGTGAATAACTGAAAACGGTCACTACTTCCGGTTTGGAACTCGCTAGAATGTAACTTTATTCTGGTTTCTGACCCCAACTCGACCTTGTTGCTCCAGATCCGGATCTCATGGATGGAGCAGCTTTCTTTTGGCTTTTCCTTGAATAAAACCATCGTTAAAATCCAAAAACATCCCCGTGTTCTCACACACGTTCGTCCTGGAGATAAACATCGGCTCTTCTCCCTACAACGCTCGTTTTCTGCCGCGTTTCAGCGCAGATGCCCGCTATTCCCGGCAGCAAACTGAACGCCTGATCTCCTTTAGGAAATGATCGTTTCCCTTTCTTTCTGTGCTGAAGTGGATATTTGGCACCCCTCTCTGTTCCTACACAACCCCCGGTGTTTTGGAAGTGTGTTTTATTTTACGGCTCGTGAATGCTGGCGGAAGTCTTGCCTGAAATCTCGTGTTTTCCCAGGAAGCGGTGTAGCTGTTGGCGGCGCTCAGCGGGGTGGACCGTAACCAGAAGAACACGGAAGGCTGTGACATTAGGAACGTTACCGGAGAAGGAGGCTGCTAAACGGACCCGTGTGTGCGCCGACTTACTCGAGTCACACTTTGAAACAAGGAAAACCTCCCGGTGCCGGTCTGGGTTCACTTTCCTCTCATCAAAAGTAAAATGAATCTTAATCTGGTTGTGTTTCTATTGGGTTTTGCCCGCTCTACTTACCTCCAGGAGCAACCGGGTGCGTCGGGTTCTGCAGCCTTTAGCGACCCCTGAAACACAGCTGCAGCGCCGACGTGGACCCACCGGACCGGTCCATTAACGGGCACGCTGTCGGTAACGAGTAGCTGGAGGATAGTAACGGTAGCGCCCAGCAAAGTAATCTCATTACACAAAGCAGCAGTGACCGCGGTGCTGCTTTCAGTTGCTTTCGGTTCGTTTCTGCTGAGCCTTTACTTGGTTTTATTTCATTTTTAATTTATTTAACATTTTTTGTCAGCTGCTGAACGTTAGTTTACCTTCTCCACAGCGACTTCCACTTCCGCATCGCCTGGGTGACGTAACGGTGACGCAAGCACGTCAGATTTGATTTGACCTAGCTGAAAAAAAATCAATTCAGAAACACTTGTCATAAAACCAGAGAATAGATCATTTTAATTTTGTAAATGTACAAAACGTATATGTTTATAATGATTTATCATTATTATTATTATTATTATTATTATTAAGTTACTTTCCCCACTGTGGGATTAATAAAGTCTATTTTATTATTATTTTTATTATTACTATTGGCCTGGTCTTTCTAAATTGTCATCAGGTGGGAGTGAGTGCAAGGTTAGAATTTTACTTTAATTCTATTCTATTTTATTTATTTTTAAAAACAGTCACCCTGTTGTATTAAAAATGTGTCCTTAAACCTCTTACATCATAACAAAAATTCTAATTCAATTCAAATTAAAAAATACTTTATCAATCCCAGAGGGAAATTAGAGTTTCAGTACACACAATTCTGTGATCAGACATACATACATAGCAGTGATGATGATGTGAAGCCTTTTGAACCAACAAAGCTTTACAATCCAATTTAACTGAAAATAGGTTCAAGGGTCAATGCTTCAAAACTCTGTGAGGACATCTGCTGGTAAATGTTTGTATTTCATTGTATTGTTGTCAGCCAATTCTACTGAAAATGAATGGTGTATTGAACTTTATGGACAAATAAAGCATTAAAAAGCTTCCTCAGGATCATATAATAAAAGTATCTTGAATTTGAACATTACATTAAATATAATAAAATTGCTTTTCTTGGTGTGAATACCTGAAATGAAATTATGTTTATTTGGGACAGTGCATGTTAATGGACATACATGTAGGGATAACATGAATGTAAACAGGCCAGATTGTAGCCTAGGGCTGATTTCCATCTGTAGTCCCGAGGACTTCGTGAAGGTGATTTTGGTGAGGGGGGTTGTGAACAGGTGGTTGTGCTTGGTGACAATATGGGGATCAAATGTCATTTTTATTCAAAAACAGAATTTGTTCAACAGTTCCAGGGTTGAGCCTATTTCTTTTCTTGCTGACAACCTCCCCAGCTTTGGAAAAAACCCTTTCACAGGGAACAGAGGATGCTGGGATGCACAAAACCTCCTTGGCAAGTACATATAAACTAGGGTACACATGTTTCTGTAAGAGGGTGCTCCCCTCTTGGAATGTTTGGTTCCACAAGATATCGCTGAACCTCGACTGTGGCTTTTGCTGTGGCACTGGACACCTTCGTTTTCTCTGAGACCTGGCTGTCCAGCAAATCCCACAGGCCAGCCACTGAAATAATCAAAAACAAAGTGTCAGAAAAGGGCACCATATGCATGAGAACTTGAAGCTGTTACCTGAGGATTCTGCCGATGAGGAAGCTGCAGGCTGTGGTGGGTCAAGGGTTGTGCTACTGTTTCGCAGCAGAGTGGCACATTTGGCGGTCAGTCTTTTTACCGCAATCTCTGAATTTGTAGCATTACAAAACCCCCTCACCTGGGGTCCAGGAGAGTGGCGAGAGAATGTTGACTGGCTGTCTCATAGTGGCTAAGCTTTTCGTTCATAAGCTGCACAATGTTACTACACAGTTTGCTGGCCACAACACCCCTGACCTGCCTCTGCTTTGAGGTGATGCTGTGCCTCAGCATACGAATTAAGGGTATAACTTTTGACCCTGACACGGATTTCTCTGCCGACAGCTCCACAGTTGCTTCTTTTAAGGGTGACAATACCTCAAGGCATTCAGAGATGGCGTCGTATTCTGCAGAGGTCAGGGGAGCCACATCAGTATGTTGTTGCAAGTTTCTGCGGGTCAAAAACTGGTGAGAAACGAGGATCACAGAAGGGTTGCAGAGATAAGAGATCAGAACTTGCTTCCGGGAGCAAAACTGGGCAGAAGGTCAAGAAGCGTCTGACCCAACCTTCAGCAGGAGAAATGGGACTGAAGGAGACAGAGTGAAAAGAGCTCATCAAGAGCTCATCAGGAGACGGAAAGCCTTCATGGAGAATGCTGGACTTTGGGAGAAGACATCTAATGGCCTGTGTTAAGCTAAAAAGCCTTCATGAAGGATCCTGCATGTAGCAAAAATGACACCAAATGTCTTGTGTTGAGCTAAAAAGTGTTTAACTGGTAAATGACCCCATGACCTTACTATCATGAGGTAATGATATATGTGTAACTAGAAAACGTTTTACCTTGTCTAAGCTGACCCTAGAAGAGTATAAAAAGAGCAGCTAGAAGCAGAGCTGACACACACAGTTGGGGCAGACGACAGTGAGAGACAGAGCAGATTTGGGATAGAGGAGGTCATCCTCCGTCCAGAGGACGGAGGATGACAGGTCAGTTTTTGGGAAGCAGCAGCAGGAGAGAGTTAGTGAGCGTGTGTTAGAGGGCATTAGCCTGAAGAGAAGAAGATTTAGAGTTGGTGTAAGCCAACTCATTATTCTTAGTTAATTATTAGGATTAATCTTTCCTGGGGGGAAGAGATCAGTTTTATATTTACCAATTTTTTGTATTTTTTGATCTTGTAATAAACTTTTTGGAAAAAGAATCCACATCCATGATTCTTCCAGGTCCTTTTTAAAGGTTAAAGTGGGAGCCTCGACCTATCATAAGGAGAGGTAAGCACATTAATTATAGGTTCCTGAATTATCAGGATTTGCTTTACGGTTTGTGACAGATTAATAAAAAGAAACCTTAAGTAAAGAAGCTTGTCTTCTCCTCTCCTGTGAGTAACGAGATGTCTTAAGGATGATAAAGCCAAAACATTAGTAGGTTAATTTAGGCTCTGTTTGCAAGTGTGAAAAAGTCTCCGCCAGCATGGGAAGGTTGGATTAATTAGATAAATTGATAAATCTATGTTAGCCTGATCAACTAACAAGAATCATTTTCTAGTTACCAACTCCCACAAAAGCTGACAGAGGCGCAAATTAATCCTACTAACCCAAAGAATTGTCAGCGACGGATGGCCACCCGCTGAACTTTGCCCTAGTATCTAAAACCACTAGATAACGGGAGATATTAAAAGGAAGTGTGCTATCACAAAGAAACAAGTATGGCATATCATTTCTCCTTAAAATAGGAAACTGATTCTAATTGAGGGAGTCCAAACCAGGGTCTAGTACAATAAAACTCACCGACGCCCCCACGAACCCTGAGAACGCAGCGCAGTCTTATAAGTTCTAATGGAACTAGGTTTTAAAGGAACCGACAAATAGGACGTGCTCGCGACAATGTAAGGACACCAGAGCTGCACTTACTGGTTCACGCTGCTCATACAGCCTGGACAACATATCAAAAGTGCTGTTCCATCTTGTGTCCACCTCCTGAATGAATTTATGGACAGGGGCCACTGCCTCCATCTGCCTCTGTAGGAAAAGCAGCCTCTCTCTGGCCAAAGTACTGGTCCTGAAGTAGGCAGCAACCTTTCTGGCCTTGCCCCTCATGTCCTCAAGACCAGGGGTCAAATCAAGGGCCTTCCTTACTTCTAGATTCAGGGCATGTGCAATGCAGTGACTGTGCCTTGCATCCAAATTATTTGCACATGCCAGCATGTTTGCTGCACCATCAGTCACAAGGCACATAAGTTTGGACTGTATGTTCCATTCCTCCATCAAAGTAGCCAAAACTTTAGCGATGTTAGCTGCTGTATGATTCTCAGGAAAATTCTGAACAGCCAGTAACATAGAAGTTAACTCATCACTTTCATTAATGAAATGGCAGGTTATGGCAAGGTAGGATCCATGTGAATAGATGTCCACATGTCAGATGTCAGACTAACTGCAGGGGCTTTCTGAGAGATTTCCTTGGCCTTCTCTTTCTCCCTCTTATATCTGGCATCAACCATGCTCTTCAGTGCCAGCCGTGATGGAAGGACATATGTGGGATCCAAAAGGCTTGCAAAGGCTCTGAACCCTTTGTCATCCACAATGCTAAAAGGCTGCAAATCTTTAACAATCATACTGACCAGGGCCACACCAATGTTGTGTTGTCCTTTCTGCTGTCTTCAATAAAACAAAACAAGTTATTTAAACAGATAATGTGACATTAAAACACATACATACTGACATTTACCCTGACTGCTGGCTGCAGCTCGAGCAGAAGTGTCGTGCTTGGCACGAAAGTGCCTCAACATTGATGAGGTGTTGTTATTGTAAGCCAGTTGTTGGTTGCAAATAACACACTGCACCTGCAACACATAACAAATATTATTGAAACAATACATTTTTATGGGATACGTGATGAAATATATCTAATTTACACATATTAACATTCTCTACATATTCAAATATTTTACTTTTCACATTTCTATTGGATTATTAGGCAGGAATAATTAGCTCAATTTATGTACCTTTTTAGAAATAGAGTAACAAAATGAAGATTAGAAAATTCACATAAGGATAGGACAAACTACATTCCATTACACACACAACCAAACTGAAAAGCTCATCAACAATTATATTAATAACCAATAAAAGAAGAAAAATCATACCAAACTGGATTTTTATTTAATTAAAGGAAAATGACAGACGGTCTAAAAGATACAGCCCTACAATTTGCACCAAGTATTACTACTATAAAGATAATTTACTAGACTAGACCAAATACATTTTCAAACCTTATTTGGAGAGAATACATTGAAATGTTCCCACATCTCAGAACGCCCTCTTTTTGCTACAGGATCCATTTTTGCGACTCCGTGTTTAATCACTGAATACTGAATCCTAAACCGTCAATCTCAGTTCATACAAACCTGCGCCTCTCGGTTTGCATTGCTTTAAATGTTTGAAACCGCATGTGAAGCAGTCACGTGGGTGGAAGGGTGAATCGAAGCGCCGTCGCTCATTGGTCACGTGACTTTCAGTAAACAAATCAAGCTCCAACACAGTGCTTTGCTCTGCGGTGGTTCGTTTTGGTGATACAAGCTTCGAATCCTGCGTTTCACATTTAACATCACTAATACATAGACACATGACAAGAATTGGTGACTGTGGCCATTCGCAACCCGAGTTGCACCACCGTAGTAGATCAAGAGGGTTTATATGAGGATAGAGTCAGGGGGAGGGAAAAAAGGCACTTCAGAGTTGCCCTCCACAGAGAGGGCAGCTTT